GCCGGCGCGGACCCTCCGCCAGGGTGATGAGGCCGGATCCCGGCCGGCGCGGCGGGCTGCGCCGCGGCAACCCGGGCTGAGCGCAGTGGAGCGGGCCCGTTGGGAAGGGGCTGGCGGCGGGCGGGAAAGCCCGGGCAAGAGAGAGCGGCGGGAGGGAAGAGCGCGGGGACAAAAGGCGGCGGGGCCGGAGCGCGCTGGATGTAGGACGGRAGGAGGCGGCGGCTGCGGGCGGATTAAGGGGAGCCGGGCGGGGAGGGGGCCGCGGCTCCTCCGCCGGGAGCCCCCGCGCTGCTCCGGGCCGGGGGGACACCGGGCGCTGCCGCCCCCGCTGCCCTGCTCTGGCCCCGGGGCTGCACGGGGGGGGCCGGCCCGCGCGGAGCCCCCGGGGGCTGCACAACCCTCCCAGTTGCATCTCCACTTAATGCCCCCCCCCCCCAAAAAAAAGAAAGGCCCTCTATGTGTCTCTCAGCTCCGAACGCCAAACGGGGGGGATTTAGCGCTTATGCGAACCCTTTGTTTACACCTGATCTGCTGTTTATCCCGGGGCTAACAGGATTTGCCGCACGCTGCTCTGCGCGCAGCGCACTCACCGCGCGTGCCGGCTCCGCGCCGAGGGGCCTCGCGCGGGAGCGCCGGGAGGACGGAGCCGCGTGTCACAGGGCTGCGCCACGAGCAGGGCACGCCGCGGGCTGGCAAAGCAAGGAGAAAACCCTGTTAGCAGCAGTGTAACGAGGGCTAGTAGTCTAGTAGTCAYTAGTAGTCACTAGTAGTCACTAGCATCTAGACACAAGTGATACAGAATCTAAGAGGAATCAGCAACATTAGAGAAGTCACCTCATTTAATACCCAGCATTGCAAAGTATTTCTAAGTAAAAGCAGGACTTTTTCTACTTGTCTTTTTTGGCATGGGGTTGTGCTTTCTGCAACAGGGAGGCTGCAAATAGCGGTATGTGCTGTAATGTAGAGGAAGTCTAACTCGCCACTGTGTTTTGCATACAAAGCACAATCCTGCTATTAATTATTATTCTGGAAAGCTGTCCCTCCGGCAGCCAGATCCCGGCTTGGCTGGTGCTGCTCTGTTATCAGCCCTGATGGGCTCCAAAGGAGCTGGCAGGGCTCCTGTGTTGTGATGAATCTCATCAGCAGCATCTCGCCACAACACTCAGTGGTGGGGGCGGCTCCTTGGAAGTCGTTCAGGGAGCCCGTCTCCTGCCTGTGGCTGCCAGAGCAGGTTGCTACTTGTGCTACTATTGCTTTTATTCACTAGGTAAAACATTACTAGGCTGTTGTTGTTCTCTGCAGTTGGGTTTATCTTCCTATATCAGTTGACTAACATTAGGAATTGATAACATCTAGGCATGAATAACATTACCTTAAATACTTGCATGGTTGCACATTTATATGCATTTTTTTCATATTCTCTAACAGCATACAGTAGTATCTTTTTACCTGGGTGTTTTTGCCTAGATAAGAGGTATTTATAGTCACTGGTTGGGAGGCTTTAGCTATGGAAAGCCTCACTGATTTTTAACCGTGACAACTTTTTGGTGACAACTCTGGTGACTTCTGGTGGTAACTCCGAAACCTTCAGGTCCCAGTTAGTTGCTTGCAATTGTGCGTTGTACGCACTGGGGAAGCTCCATGTCTACCACTTCTGTGATGTTTTCTGCGTTGTCCCTTAAATCAAATATAGGGGACTTCACTCTATCAAAAGCAGTGAAGTTATTACTGGTGTAACTGAGAGCAGATTTGGGGCCTCTGTGTCTGAATTTGCAAGCTACTCTGCTGTTTGTTTGCTGAGTATTCCCACAGCATCTAAAACACACTGACTTTTATGAACCCCTAATTACACGTGGGTTACAGGTGGGTTACAGGTATGTTGCTTTAACCTGTTGTTATGGAATATACTTTTTGAGAGGGGGATTTGTGGACAGAACAAATTCTCAAGTTGATTTCCCTTCTGCATTAGCTGTTCCACGCAGCTATGCTGGGGCTTTGTCGGCACCGYTTACTCCATCTGCCCTAGAATGTTTCTCGGTCACTATTGCTGCTCWTCTCCTGGTAATAGCAGGAGTGCACGTGCTAGTCAGACAGTACCCTTGTTACTACCATGAGGTTACATAACTGCTAAGAGCTGATCTAGGCATAGGGAGGTAACAATACAATTCTCATGCGGTCACTGGTCTAGGTGACAGCCAGTGATCACGTGCAGACAGAATATTTTACTACAAAAACCATCAATACCCAGGGTTCTGCCAAAAAAAGAAAACCTCCAAAACCTTGAGGAAGCTGCTATTTTAACAGTGACCCCCCTTTATACTTTTTTTTCTCCACACAGCTTTTTTAGCCAGAAACACTTTCTACATTTCGCTTAAATTTAGCTGAATCTGTGGTTTCAACTAAAGCTGTGCTAATACCTTGCCAAACTTCTCTGTTGTTGTGCAGTGATTGCCTGTGTAACAGTCCAATGCTGAGTAACTGTGCTAGAAAGAGGATTTGGGCTTGCATCATTGTGGGGTTTAATAGTTAATGTTGCCATTTTTCACCTGCTAAGGTGAAATGCACAATAAACAAGCTCCCAAACACGGCCTTACTGATAGCCCTGGCAAGGCTTTAAGTCCGGTTTGGGAAAGATTTCGAGCCCTGCTTGTGAGCTCTGGTGTGGACAGGATCTTTGGGATGATTTACCTTACTGCTTAGCAAGGCGTACTGACATTGGATAGCGATATGATTGCACACCAAGAAATCCTGTCAGCATTCCCAGAGATTTCTCCGTTAATACTGTTGCTATTTTGGAGCTTTCTAAGACAACCACTTTCCACTTCCATGACTTCTCCCAAAAGTAATTTCACAAATGGAAGTGACTTGGAGAAAAGCTCCTCTGCAGCTGAACTTCTCTGCGTTCCTGAATTCATGGCTTGTCGCAGAGGAATTATCCTGCTCCAAAAGAGCCTCCTTCCTGTAGGGGGAAATACTCAAAATTCTCTGACCCTYCCTGCCCCCTTCCAAAGAGGAAGAGGAAGCAGATGATGGGCTGCCARTGTGACTGCTTACCCATGCAGCACCATCGCCATGGAAACAGACTGTCCTAGAATAGCTCAATCACATGAGGGTTACATGACATGAATAAAGTACCCAGAAAACTGGAAAGTATCTCCAAACCSGCGATACTTGCATTTAATTCATTGCCCCCTGGTCATGACTGGTATCATGATTCACTAGTGCAAAAATTATGGCCTCTCTCTAAAGGGTTGGTTGKTTGGAGCTGGGGGTCCTGGCTCGARAACTGATTTTGAGTAATTTTCCCCCTGGCCTCTGGCTGTGTGAAGCAGTGACCTGTGGTTCGCAGGGCTGCCTGCGCAGAGCCGAGGCGTGGTGCTGGCCCCTGCACTTTTAAGGACATTTTGGCTGTTCTTAAAACTAGGTGCAGTGGTTGAAGCAAGCGCAGCCTGTGCATCTAAGAGACAGAGACACCTTCAGCACAGTTCTTTCTAGTCACTTAGCTACTCATATGGCAACTAGGTCTAGTCACTGTAACCATTTTCAATAAAAATGATTATCTTTTATTGCCAATTACTTTTTCTGTTTGTGTTTTTAAAGTGAATGGTATGACAGAGTAATTGAGAAACCTGTCATACAAATCACATACAAAAAAGTAAATATGCTTCCAGCATAAAGTAAATTATAGCTTGATAGAGAGAAAACCATTAATGGCAGCTGTATGTCACAGAAGTGACAAGGTTAGCACCTTGTAGCCTCTAGAAGAGTGGCAAAGCCCTATAATTTCAATGGACAGGCAAAGATTGATGACTTTTTCCTGTTTGTGCAATCCCAGATTGATTATTTGCCACAGCTTCCACTTCTAAGATCAAGTTTTGTAATAAGCTTTTTAGTCTGTTGTATGACCACAAAGATTGTAAAACTATTACGCATTTATATTAGCACATCTGCTGTCCCGGTGTCTTAAATAGGAAACAGGGCAATTTCCATCAGCTGCCTCTTCGCAGAGGCCTATAAATGGACATTGTTCATTACTCAGTGAAAGGAGATGAACATTAGTTTGGAAGATAGAGTTCCTCAAGAGTTAGAGTTCCTCAAGATTTAGCTTTGATCATTACAGGACAAAGGAAGAAAAATCATAGCYCTCATCTGTATATTACGTACCATTTGGTACAGTATATGTAAATAGTTTCCTATAATGGCTACGACCGATCATGTTCAAATAACATGGTACAGTTTCTTTAACCCATTTTCAACTTCCATGAAATTTTGCTATTTTCAATAATGGATTTCTAATTTATAAAATATCTTTTTAAAGATACTTATTCAGGGTTGTTTGTGTGACTTACAGAAGAGCTGAAAAGAGTTTTTTTTTTTTGCTTGACACATTAAATATGTCACATGAGCTACATGAGTAGCATTGTTGCCTGATTACATGCAGCATTTCTCCTATGCAGTCTGAAAATACCAAGCAAAACAGAAGTCTTAATTCTGAACATTTTCATCTCGGCACACAGTTCACATCAATGCACATAATCCTCCTGAAATCAGCAGCAAGTGAAGGTTAACAGCATCAGGTTTCCTATCTGGTACAGGCTGTTTACTTCAGGCTGCTCTTACAATGTAGCTCTCTCTGTGGTGGTTGTTCATTTAAAGACTGCATTTTCAATGATCTCATTCTTTGCCCTACTTTGCTTAATAAACACACATGTTGTAATGTGTACCTTTTTGACCTGCATTCCTCCTAAAATCAACTTGGAATCTGTTTAGACGTTCAGGCTTAATGGTTGGTCTTGTGTTCCTGGAGAGTTTACAATCGTTCACTCTGGGGATCAGGGAAATGATGCTCTGTTTTTTGTTGTTTGTTTCTTTCAAATGGCTTTATATTTGTTAACGGGTACAATGAGTCATTCATTTTTGATTAGTTGATTAATGACAAGACACAAAAGTAGCTTTCCGAGAGGGCAGCAAAGGGCAACAGAGGTAGAAAATCCAGTGATTTGTGACTGAAACAAGTCACAAGCTGTATTTCCAACTGTTGTGAAATCTTCCAGGGTAAACTGTAGCTAAATCAACCCATCTTATTGTCTCAGACAGAAAAATGAAAACCTACCCGGCCATTGGTTTCTTCCTGCTCTTGGTGATCAGCTATGGCTCTTCCGAGAACTCGAGCACGTCGCGCGGCTGCGGCCTGGACCTCCTCCCTCAGTACGTCTACCTGTGCGACCTGGATGCCGTGTGGGGGATCGTGCTGGAGGCGGTGGCGGGAGCCGGCGTGCTCACCACGCTGCTGCTCATGCTGATCCTGCTCGTGAGGCTGCCCTTCATAAAGGACAAGGAGAAGAAGAGCCCGCTGGGGATGCACTTCCTCTTTCTTCTGGGGACTCTAGGACTGTTTGGGCTGACRTTCGCGTTCATCATCCAAGAAGATGAGACGGTGTGTTCAACCCGAAGGTTTCTGTGGGGAGTTACCTTTGCTTTGTGCTTCTCGTGTTTGCTAGCTCAAGCCTGGAGACTTCGTAGACTAGTTCGGCATGGGAAAAGCCCATCTGGCTGGCATCTAGCTGGGATGGCCATCTGCCTGATGCTCGTGCAAGTCATTATTGCAACGGAGTGGTTGATACTGACAGTTGTGAGAGATAACAAGCTGGCCTGCAACTACGAACCGATGGATTTTGCTATGGCTTTGATTTACGTTATGTTCCTGATGGTGTTCACCATGGGGTTTTCTCTTTTCACTCTTTGTGGAAAGTTTAAAAAATGGAAGAAAAATGGAGTATGCCTCATCATAACGCTCTTTTTCTCTATTCTGATTTGGGTAGCCTGGATGACTATGTACCTCTTTGGTAACGCTGAACTAAAGAGAAAAGACAAATGGAGTGATCCCACTCTTGCTATTGCACTGGTGTCCAGTGGTTGGGTGTTTGTTATTTTTCATGCTATACCAGAGGTCCACTGTACCATCCTGCCATCGCAACAGGAAAATGCACCCAATTATTTTGATACTTCACAGCCAAGGATGCGTGAAACTGCTTTTGAGGAAGATATACAGCTTCCTCGGAGCTACATGGAAAATAAAGCATTTTCAATGGATGAACACAATGCAGGTAAGGATTTGCTCTGTAGAGCTCTACACTCTTCTGTAGTAGCAAAGCAAAACATGTTTGAAACAAGGCTCCTTACAAATGCTCTATTTTGCACATTACACATTCCCTTTGTCCTTTTAAATTGTTCATTAAAAAGCATCTYAGTTGCAAAAAGAAAAGGTGGGGGGAGCATGTTATACAGTAAATACATGTTTTTTGTTAAAGTGGGTTTAAGTCTTTTTTTATGGAAAAACTGACTAATTTCAAGTACAAAGCCAGCTCAGAAAAAGATCAGTGTGAAAAAATAACTTCCAGTTTGAAATGGTTTAACATTCTTTGTCATTATCAGTTTATCAGCATTTTAGATGAAATATTTTCCTGAAAGTTTTATAAAAATAGTCTTTGTTCTGAAAGTTCTAGTAAATTAGTTTCATACTATCCCAACTGCAGTGATTTCAGTGGAATTATTTCTGACTAAGGCAGATCTCAGAACAAAACTGGATCATTCACTCATTATTCTCATTCATGGACACATTTTAAAAGAAGGAGTGAAGGTCTCCTTTTTGATTTAATCATATCAGTGATTTTTTTTAAAGAAATGGATAGAGGTATGGTCCCTATATCCAATTACAGTATTTAATATAGTGTAATTTATGATGTTCTGCTTTAATCTGATCCTCTATTTCCAACACAATCTTTATCTGGTATCTTTGCTAATGTTTATCATAATGGGTACATGTAATTTCTCTTCCTATGGCATATGGAAAAAGGATAAATGTATTTTTGATAAATCAAAATGGAAGCTTTACACTTCCATTATTCTGTTGCAGTTGTTTTTTAAGTTAAATACAGACTTATGACAACAGTTTGGAGACAACACTTACTGGTATGGTAGAGACTAAAATAAATGCAGGTAATAATATTCAAGTCACATACTAGGGCTGCTGAAGCGTTAATTGAAGTCAAGTCTCTGCATTGATGGTTGTCAGTGGCCAAGCACCTGGAGTCCATTAGTAATTGGCTCTCTGCAGGTATATACAGAATAGTCTTTTTTTTTTTTTTTCAATGCGGTTCACAATTTTATTGTTCAGAGTCCAGAAATTAAAAGCAATGGTACTTTCAGTTATGCCTAAGAATTATATTTCAGATGAGATCTATTTATTCTGAGTTTTGGATGACATGATAACCATAAATCACCCTTTGATTTCCTGACTGTAATACTTGTTTTAGTAAACAATTTAAATAGAAAACATGTTTGAATAAATGTATTTTCCATTTATTCACTATATAGTTTTGTCTTTTTTTTTCTCTAGCATACGTTTTCCTTCTTATTCTCCAAATGTTCTTATAAAAAGATTTAAAAACCCAGAGGAGCTAAGGTTACACATGTACATGAAGAAATCCAGTGAACATATCTATGTGAAATCAATAGTGTTCTCTGGCTCTGTGCACAACCCCCAGTGTGCAGCGTAGCCATGGGCAGAGGACAGCATATGGCAGTAGGATCCATTTAAATCTTGTTGTGCACAGTGCAGCAATATTAAATCCTCACTTTGTTAAAACCTATGATGAAATTCTTGTAAACCTCAGTTGGTCTAGAATTTCAGCCAGAGTGTGCAGAACTGTAATTCAAATTAGACCTAAGAGAGATTCTTGGTCCAGGTGCAGCAGGTTTCTGGGCAGAAACTGGGAAAGTTTCTGTTTATCAATTCATAGATCCATATTTCCTTAGCATGGAATCGTAAGCAGTCAAGTTGCACGTATAAATGAGATTTCTTAGATGGCCAGATATGAATTCAGTGAAGTCATCGGTTACCCTTAAAGTAGAAGAAAGTATGTCCCAATTCTCTGACTGGTTTAGAGAGAAGAAGTAAATCCTTAACTATGCCGCACCTGTGAGGCCGCACCTTGTGAGGCCGCACCTGGAGTACTGTGTGCAGTTCTGGGCACCCCAGTATAGGAAGGACGTGGAGCTTCTGGAGAGGGTCCAGAGAAGGGCAACCAGGATGATTARGGGAATGGAACATCTSTCGTATGAAGAGAGGCTGAGTGAGCTGGGCCTTTTTTCTCTGGAGAAGAGAYGGCTCAGAGGGGATATGATTAATATGTATAAGTTCAGGAAGGGAGAATGCAGGGAGGAAGGGGACAGGCTKTTYTCACTGGTGGCCAGCGATAGGACGAGGGGTAATGGCCACAAACTGAAGCATAAGAAGTTCCGTCTCCAGGTGAGGAGCAACTTCTTTACTGTTAGGGTAACAGAGCAGTGGAACAGGCTGCCCAGGGAGGTTGTGGAGTCTCCTACTCTGGAGGTCTTCAAAACCCGCCTGGATGCCACCCTGTGCCACATGCTCTAGGTGTGCCTGCTTGAGCAGGAAGGTTGGACTAGATGATCTGTAGAGGTCCCTTCCAACCTTAAATATTCTAAATATTCTGAAATATGCCTATCTCTCGTTTCAAATATACATTTTGAATCCAAACTTCCTCTGAAGTTAATGGAGGCTGATGTATTTCTGGTACAGACATCCAAATGGACAATATCTATGCTTTTATTTCAATCAATTGCGATCTTTAAGCCATTCAGAAACAATGTTTACTTCATATTTCTAGTTTCTCAGAGTAAATATAATCTGAAACATCTGGAAAAGCCTCATTCGCTAGTCATGCTGAAGTAATGCTCAGGGGGTTGTGAGTATGCTTACTGGCTCAAGCAGTATTTTGGATCTCGGTCCTCTGAATTTGATAGAAAGCAAAACGCAGTATCATTTTACTTAACCCTACAATATCCTGACCAGTAAAATAGGCATTACACAAAATATATTGTGCAAGATGCATCAAAGGCTCAGTGGCTAGAGATGTTTAACTCCTGTTGAATGGAGAATAAGAAAATTTTAAAAATCTAGCTTCAAGACATTTCTCYTCCTTCTATAATATAGAGTTAATTTTAGGTAAAACTCATTCTTTTAAGATATATCCCCACCTACATAAGAAAAGTTCAAAGGCCATTTCAAATCCGGTACACAACATAAAACCTAAAATCACTGTCAAAGTTGTCATTAACTAAACTGGAAGCAAGATGCTTTTGTGATTTTAAAGGAAATACAGAATATTAATTATGTTAATAAGACTAATCTCTCTCTTTTAAATGCAGCGCTAAGAACGGCAGGATTTCGAAACGGCAGCTTGGGAAGTCGCCCCAGTGCTCCTTTTAGAAGCAATGTTTATCAGCCAACTGAGATGGCAGTTGTGCTAAATGGTGGGACTGTAAGTATCAAAAGTGATGCTTTAAGACATCTTTGACGCGTACTGCTCTATACAGCCAGTACTAATTGAAAAACCTTCTGATGTAGCTTATTCATAGCAAGAGGCAAAGCTATAAATGAGAACTGTGGYGCAAGTATGCATGTAATGCTTCCCTTCCTCTTCAGCAGAGATGCAAACATAAAATATTTTGCATTTCCTTATTTGTCTATTCAGGTTTTGCAGTGTAACTTCAGTGAACTAAATTACCTGGTAACTCTACATATTCACAGCCCCTTTTGAATTAAATATATGCTACGGCTGCTAACATAACTATTAAGTGACACAATTTCTAACCAGATTTTTGCAAGGTTCTGCAAGTGACACAAATGTATTCAGGCCAGTACCTTACTTTGAATAAAAATCATGGTTACAGATTGTGGTCGTCTTTCACATACCTTCATTTTTTTTTCTCAAATGTATGTAAYTCATAATATGTTACAGATGTATAAATTATCTGGGAAAGAGATTCATGAAAAGAGAATAGAGAATATTTGGTTTTTTTTTACTTTCTCAGACAATAGTTTGGTATGCTATTATTTGACAGACCCCTTTTTCTGCAGCCTGCAGCAAGAATGCCTTAGACATCTGATGCCAAGCAGCCTCTGCTTTTTGCATGATATATATATCTAACTGACACTTGAAGAAATTGCATAGAGCACTTGCACTGTTAAAAAAGGTTTTTTCATCCCCATAATCTTCATGCATACYTACGTGTTTCTTAAAAATCTGCCCATGAGCCAGGTTATACTCATGTAAGTTGGCTTTCTTTATTTTCTATCATAAGCTAATTCCATGCTTTGCTTTCAGCAGTGAATAACATCCTTTTGATGCTTGGATTGATCTGTGTCTTTGTTTTTTTGATACCAGAATAAGGAGATCACAGAACAGGCAGCTAAGGATGAGACACCTGAGAACTGGGCGGTGGGAGGGAGGGGAGCAGTGTTTTATATTGAAGTGGACACAAAGCTTCCTGGAGCACATGGGAGCATAAATGAGAGACTGAAGTGCATATATTCTCCTGCTTTTTATGTGTGTTCAGGTGATGCATATACACCTGAAGATGAATTACACTATCTTTTTGCTCTAKAAAATTGGTTCTAAAGCTCTTGTGCACATGTAGTATGGTAACACTGATTTCTGAACAGACTAGATCTCTTAGTTATGGGTTTATTATCCTTATTTGCAGATACCAACTGCTCCGCCAAGTTACACTGGACGACACCTCTGGTGAAAGGCTGTAGGCTCTAGAAAAAAAAGAATCTTTGTTACAGATTTTGTTYCCTGGCAGTGTGTCTTTGAGGGAGGAATCCATAACAGTTCCAGAACAAAGCAGCAAAACATGCAGCTTTTGAAATCCTACAGAGGATTTTATGTAAATGTGCACATCACTTTACTGATAAGCTAAATGCAAAAAAAAAATTGTAAAACTGAGGCTGAATTTAATTTAAAATAGAAGTAGACACACTAAAATGGAAGAGGGGATGTTGTATTCTGAGATGTAAGATACACTCTGTCTGTAACTAGCGTGAGAGGCAAGCCTCCTCTTTTCTGTTGGTTGCCCGTTGCTTGCAAAACACCCTCCTCTCACCTAAATTTAATTGGTGTTGTCACAAGAGATTGCCACTACAATGTGAAAACATGCAGGATTTATTTCCCTTTTGCTCTTTTTCCCTCTATTTCAAATGTCATGAAAATATACCGTTGGCTTCATTACYTACCTGTACTGTAACATCATTTAGCATCACTTGTAGTTAAGCATTGCCACTTTGTGGCAACTAAATTACAATTWCACTGTACATTGGTACTCTTTCCTCTTTAAAAAGACCAGGTAAAGAAAAGCAGTTTTGGAGAGGTGAAATAATCTGTGCATGTTTCCTGTGAGCTATGGAGCCTCCTGAGGCTCGGAGACAAAGCGTGGGTGCAGCAGCCGCAGCTCCTCGCAGCGCGGGATCTTTCCCCGTGACTCCGGGCGTGRGCAAAGAGCTGGGTGTTCTTGGTGCTCCTGCAGATGAAGCTGTTAAATTAAGACTTTGGAGGGATACACGGTTGCAAAGACCTAGCTGGGGAGAGAAGGTGGCTGGAGTTTGCCAGAAGGTCTCTGTGCTGGTGGACGGAGGAGAGCCGCTGTGCTGCGCGGGACAGGTGGTTCTCGTGGGCCGGTCTGGCCGAGGAGCAGAGCGGAGGCAGCTGAACGGCACCGGCCTCGCACGAGGGACTCGGCCGTGTGTAGGATCCAGCCCTCGGTTTCCCCTCCCTATTCACACGAGTAGTCCCACAACTGCAGTTGTTTGTGCATTTAAATGTGGTTGTGCATTTTAGTGCCTAGCTGGTAGAATCTCCGTGCCGGAGGTGGTTTGTTGTTATTTTATGTTTTTAAGGTGGCTTCTTCCCTATTCCCCTACCCCTCCACTCCTCTGAGTTGACAGAAGGCAGATTTTCTCAAGGCTTTTTATCTTTGCTTTCACCAGGTTATTTAAAGGTTCCCATTGCCCATTATTTGTGCCATGGTTTTCATTATGTTTAAGCAAATCATTCCTTTATTTAACATTTAATACATATCAGACACTGAAACATCACTGTATCTTCACTGTTTTGCCAATGTTAATCTTAGCTTTCCTCAATACTAAAAGCAAATTGTTTTTACTTGAGGGCATAGGAAACATTTAAGGATTAAACTTTGCATATGCTGTAATAAAAATATATATTTTCAAACTAAAAAAATATAATGTACAAATAACTGAATAGCTTAGTAGCTTCACAGAAAGAAGTTACTTTCTGTATTCTGCAAAAGAAAGACAAGCTTTTTAAAGAGTCTTCCTGATTCTTCACATACCTCCATTTCTACTGAATTAGGAACCGCGTCCTGCAGCCCTGTGCTCCTGGGAACAGCCTCGCGAACAGCAGCAGGGCTAACACTGGCAGCACAGGCTGCACGACCAGTCCCTCGGTGTTGCACACAAATATACACGTGTATTATATATATGAAAAAATATATATATCGCCATTCTTGCCATGATCATCTTATAAGGGGTTTTATTCAAAGCCCTTCTCTTCCAGAAGCAATATTTTTCTGTCATGCATGATTAAAGGAGCGTATTAGCKCCATGCCAGTTGTTCCCCCTACCCTCCCCTCCTCAAGGCAAAGGAAGCATGTGCTTGTTTTAAGGATTTTTGTTTGTCTGTTTTGTAAGTTGGTGGTCCAAGTAATCAGGTAGGGTAGGGGTAGATCTTGCATGCAAACCAATGACTTAGAAATACATTTTGCTTGTTAAAATTAAATTATAATCAAATAAGGTAGTAGTTATGGTAATGTTATGATAACCCCAGAAGTTGCATAATTTGGAACAATACAAAACCTACTGATCATCACTTGTCTGCAGAAGTTTGCTTTAAAAAAAATGCATAAAGTCTCAGAAAACTATTGTGAAGACATATAAGATGACCAYGGCATAAATGGTAGGACAGCTTTCCTTTAAAAGATTTATCACAGTACAGTTGAGATTTATGAATTATAATACGCATTTTACAGACCATGGACAAAATCTGTACAAGATAAAGTTACCTTAAGAAATGTTTGTTCTTTTTCTAGATGTGACTGAATTGATAAAGTTCCCAATCCTACTCTTAATGAACTAATTGGAATTTGAGGCCATATGCAAAGACATGGCTGGATCCTAAAAACTCTTTACTCATGTGACTGGTCTCACTGGGTAGTCATGTGGACTATTCACAAATATAAGATTGGCAGGATTGGGCTTAATTTGTGGTGGTGAAAGTGTGGCAATAGACTAGGAAGGTCCTTATTTTACAACTTTATACAATTAGTAATAGGCAACTTTTCTGTCAGTCACCAGTCTGTGATGTAAAATGCCCTGAATAAAAATGTAATTGAAGAAAGGCACTTTTATGTTAACTTATATTTTTGTTACAGTAAACAAAGTGTTTACTTTTGCCTTTTATGAAAGTTACCTAGAATGTAGAGCATCTGTGAACAACCTAAGTATGTGTAAGCACAAGACTTTCACGGTTCCATTTAATTATAATTAGCTTTTATACTATAAAAGCTACTATGTTGTCCCTTAATGGTCATTTCCTCATGGTGTATCCATACAGGAAAAACAGAAATCCTAAAGCTTCTGAAAATATTATTACCAAAACAAATCTTTATAACAACTGGCTTTTGCTCAATGGCTAGAAAAAGAGTTCAGGGTCACACTGTATAGACCCTGTCCTGCTTTCAAGAGAGTCAAGGGTCTTTGGCACATGCCAGGAAATGTGCAGTATCTTGCAGGTGGCACTTTGGATCCACCCAGGTGTTTCCATAAACAAGGTACATGAAATATGATAGAATTAGCTGGTTTTAGTGTAAACACAGGCATCTTGGTTGGCTTTGTTTGAGCTGGGTGTCTTGGGTCTAACCAAAGGCTGTAAAAAAGGGAGCATTGTAGCTTTTATAATAAAACAACTGGACTATTCTACCAGCTTACAGGATAACAAAGCAGGTGCTTTTTATTAAATGATGAGAGCTAAAGCTCATTTTTGATAGATAATATATATTTATTAAATGTATTAATGTGTGTTTTATAACGTACCCTTTTCTTTTCCGCTGGTTGTTGCATATTAAGTACATCTTTGAAGGATTTTCAAGACAATCAATGTGTACCATGGAGACTGTACATAAGTATACAAAACTACAAAGTTGTAAAGCATGGGCAAATGTTTTATTTTCAAAATGCTGTTCTTAACGAGAATAAAGGCTTTACTATTTACTTACAAAGTTTGTGTTAAGTTGGTGTTAAAATGGATCCACAATCTTTGCACTCCCCATAAGCTATTGATGGTAGAGACCGCACTAGAGCCTGGTGCCCCCGTGAGTGGCAGCTAAGCCAAGCCTAACTATAGGCTGGGGCTGCCTCTCCACCACTGGCCCTGTCTCCACACTTCTTGCTACCAGCTCTGGCACTTAGTGGAGCCCCGGTGAGCACAGCAAGGAGCTAAGCAACCAACACTATAGTAATAATGATATTTTTTTTTCAGTTGTCTCAGCAGTTTCCTGAACTGACTGAGTATGTGAGCAGACAGGAGCTGGTGCTGGTGAAAGGAAGGGCACAGACCCATCCTCATGTTTTCTGACACCTATGTATCTGTGCTTTTGTATTGTTTAGTGTTCTTGGTCTGGATGAAAAACTAGCACTATAAAATACTACACAACCACGGGGTAGGTACTGATATAACAACGAAGACAAAGCTTAAGTCATGAAAAAAATGCATACTGAAAGACAGCAGAGTTAGAGGGTATCCATGTTTTACCATGGTTTATTCAAACCAAATAGACTTTGGTTGGCTTTACTTGCACTTCTACTATTCATTCTATCCCTCTCTAACTGGAAAATTCGAAACACCTAAATAGGACTGTGCCTCACAGGAATAAATTGGAGAACAAGAAAGGATTCTGCATCAGAGGGCTAACTGCATTTTTAATTTGCTTGCACCTTTCATAAGTAAGTACTACTATGCAAGATTGTGAAAATTACTATTCTGGGATCTTAATTTTACACTTTCTTGGCACATGGATTGACAACAAAAGGCCCTCTGAACTTTCTTGCCCTGCAGAAAGGCTGAGCCCCCAGCACTCTCATTGCCTTCTGTGGTCTCTGCAAAGGCCCAGCGCTTTTGACAACTAAACCCTTAGGAACAGAGTGGTGCAAAATGTCACAGCTCTGCAAAAGTGGGTGAAGTCTCCCGTTTTTACCAATTCAAGATTTTTGCCTTGGATTTAACACTCAGCCTGCGCCTCGATATAACCCCATTTAGCTCCTCTGGAGTTTTGTCTCCATCAGAACCTTAGCTCTAAGTACTCAGAACTTCAGCTGAACATGGACATGAAAATTTTGGCCCAGTGCAGACAATCCTGTCTGTTTTAACAGAATTGTCCTCACATAGGACAGAATTTGTTCTGGCAGGCCGAGTACTTATGTAATCTCACTTCGATTTACAACACCTCACATGTCAAAATAAAACTGTAATGCTAGGAGTGTTTCTAAACTAGTTCCACACAGAGTTCAGTCCTTGATCTCTGTGTTTTGTGGTGTTGGTGAGAGAACTAAAGGAGATCTCGGGTGATTTGGTGTAGGTTCTTCTGAATCTTCTAATTTGCTTCCCACTGCAACCATATAAAACAAAATATTACTTAACTTTCCAAAACATTTGTAGAAGTGAAAAGTACCAGTACTTCCATAGTAAATATTCTGTTGTTTAGTACAAAAAGCCAAAAAAATAATCACCCAACCGACTGCACAAGACATGCTTCCCATGCAGGGCACTTTGTTCTGACTGTGGGAGTTGTGCATGTGTAGCTCAGGGCAGGGTTGTTTGCTAGTGAAAGAGTCATTGGGCTGTTCACTTGATGTTCAAAAAAATGAAAGCAGCTCTTTGAGTTGTTTTTGCTTTGAAGATTTTCAATTAAAAGTTGGTGATGACTGAAGTCGTACAGTTCACTTTATATATAAATATATTTTTTGTCACTAAGGACAACAAGCAAGGTCAATAAAGAATAGTTTTTCTATGTCGCAGTAGAAAGAAGAATGTTATCCATGTGATTGCAAAAGGCCTGCCAAATGGGAAAATCAGTCAAACAAAGAGCACAGGGTGGCTTGCTGGAGTAAACAATCCTAAATGAACAAAAAGCTCCACATAAAAGGAAAATGTCCCACCCCTCAGTGAAAGCTGTTTTTCAAAGCTCTATATTCTTTTCAGAGGGCTCTAACACAGATTAGCCTAATGTTTTTCTCTGCTGATCCAATAGTCTAACTCTTCAGTCCATTTTATGATTTCAGCTCTCATCTTGTGCTGTTCTTCACATTTTAAAACTGTCCTTTAACCTGTGAAGATAAACATCTGCTTCTGTACCCCTTACACTTCAGAAGAGGTTTTTGTACTATCTGCCTTTCACGTAAAGAAAGTTCACTAGGAAGCTTCATATATAAAATCTATGTTGGAGACAAAAACAAAACAAAAACACAGATTAACTACCTAGAGTCATCTGTGCTGCCTAGAGTTTCAGGAGAGCTTAGCTGCTTTTCTGGGACACGCAACTGAAAACCAGCAAACAAAAAGCCCTTGGTTTGTACCAGATACCAGGTCACAACAAGCCCAGGTTCTCAGTTAAGGTGCCTGACGAACTACCAATGTGGAAGATCTTGTCTTGCAGAAAACTTCCTGGAAAAGTGTTGCATGGCGGCGAGCGCGCGCTGATGCTTAGACGACCGAATATGATCTAGGTGGCAGGATATGGCCTGTGTTCTGTGGTGGCCCAGGCAATAGATGCCAGTTGGTACAAGACCTTTCTGGATATTTAGGGCTTTGTTAGGGCTAATAAAGAGGAAAAAATAGATTAAATACTCTATGAACGTACTATATAGAAAAATCCTAATTATCAAGTAGAATCCTATGCAACATTCCCTGATGTGATGCTAATCTCTGCCGATGATTCCTAAAAACTTTCAATACATTAAAAAACCCCAGGCCGGAGCACGTTGCTCCAGGTGAGAATCAGCAGGTCCTGCAGGGAGCTGCTAGCAGCCCTTCAGTGAGGAGCTTCTCTGTCTCAGCACAGCCCTGTGTTACTTCGGCACAACATTTTCAAATCACATCACACTAAGCAGGAAGCTCAGGTTGTCAGGAAGGATCTGCATTTCAGGCAGTTATTTAAATAGCTTTGGACACACACTTGCTTCTTAGGCAGACAGAAAAGATGTCCTCAGGATTCACGTATGCTAAGAAGATGGGGGAAAAAATGAATGACTAAGTCTTTTCACTAGAAACTTCCATCAGAAAAAAGAATGTACACTCCAAAGTAACTAGCTTCCATTTACATTTTGAAAGGCCTAATCAATAAGTTTAATTGCTGTGACAACATAGCTCCCATGAAGTTCAAAACAACTTACACTAGCTGGGAATCCAGCCCTTCTTTCACACAACACACATCTAAAAGGAAGGAACAGTATAAATGTCAACATGAACAACTTGCTTACAACCATGCAGTTGCACACAGCTCTTTTTCCTTTAGAAAGATGCCATGAATACAGGGAAAGGCTTGCGGACACGACCAGGTAGGACCAAATGCCTCAGGATGTCACTTACATGGTGGCCACTGCAACTCGGTGCGGCTGCCAGCGCCGGGGCCACGCCAGCCCTCGCACAGCCAGCTGGGCCTGGCTCCCCCAAAAGGAGGAACAGCTTGAACAGCTCCGTGCCCAAGGGACCTACCTGTGTAACTGAGCGTGCGAAAACCACCTACCCAGAGTCAGCGACCTGCAGCCAACTCCGGGAGGGGAAATACTAAATAATAATAATAATAATAATAATAATAATAATAATAATAATAATAATAATAATAATAATAATAATAATAATAATAATAATAATGCCTGCAAAATGCCATTAGACTCCTGAGGACTGCATAGTGAGGCCTCTGTCCTGCTCATTTACACATTAAGTTCACACAGCTTTACATTTTTTTATTTTAAATACAAGAGGCAATTTTCCTTCATCCTAATGCAGACGCAGAATCCAGACTGACATTCTGGTTTCAAGACTTGGTTGTTTCAGTGTAACAGTGAATAAACTATGACCTACTTTATACACTACAGTATATTATAACTGGTTTGTGACACAGCCTATGAAAGGTTTATACACCCACACTCCTGATTTTGTTTAAATCATAAGAACTATGAGAATTACATTTGGTAATTTAAACAGTTGACAACAGTAATGAAAAATATCATACACTCAGAGAGTAAAATGAAGAAAATCCATTAAAGAAAATCTATTGGAATAACTTATTAGTAGGGGCTTAGAGTAAAACATATAAATAGAAAGGCGTTTCACCCTGGCCTTCCCATGGAATGCCAAAGAAGCCTGAACATGAAATCAGAGCTGCCAGCAGTCTTCTGAAATAAGACCTGACTTTTAAAGAGGCAGTTCTTTATCAAGTGTATATATAAAATTTTGGACCCTTAGTCTTTGAAGTCAATATACATGCCAGAATTAGTGAAACCTTTCACTTAAAATATCTCCAGCCACCAGTGATAGAAGACTGATGTATTATAAACAAATATATTGAAAAAAAAAACACATAATTAATTGAAGAAATCAGAGATGATGCCCACAGATGTCTGCCGCTCATGAACCTGCCAGCAGGTCACTCACCGGGACGCTGCTTACGTTAAACGTGCGCTCGAAGGTAACGGCACCAGCCCAGTGCTCTGCGGCAACAGCGAGGTTGGTTGAACGCCTAAGCTCGCCGTAAGGGCACGGGCTGGAAGGCCACGGCTGGGGCTGAGTCACCGTGCCCAGCAGCTCTGCCCAAGGCAGAGCCAAGTCCCAAAGCAGCAGAGAGCAGAGGGTGCCATGGGCATAGCTCCCCTTGGCCTGGGGCTGCCCAGCAGGCCTGGGGAAGGCCAGGCACACACAGACACGCGCTGCTTTTAGTGTCCCTAGCAGGGAGGGCACACACTTTGAGCAGATTCATTTATTCACTTAGCGCCACATTAAGGAAGCAAGAACCGACACAGAGAGAACAACTGAACAGCAACAACCAGTAATAGAACTGGGAACAAGGTGTGAGGGATTCCTAGTCGTACTTATGCCGTGCTTTCCACACCTTTTGATAAAAAGATGAAGAAAACCACATCCATGTGGCATCTTTTACAAGTCAAGGCATAAAAAGAGAAAAGCATATGAAGAAATACTGAAAAATGGTATTCTCAGAAAGTAACACAACGTTTGGGGAAGATGAGCCTGGACTGCGGGAGGAAAAATCCACAAAGAAGGCAGTAGGATATCTTCATTGGGAAGCAGTAAAGTTCTCTGCTACGTAAGTAGTGGGGATGATAAAAAATAAATAAATAAAATAAAAAGGTGAAAAGGGAAAGCTGACCAAAAGTGGGGAGAAATAATTACCACGTGCTAGACCCCAGCAAAAAGCAGCTTGGAAATTACAGGAGGAAGCCAAAGAAACTCCAGCACCTGCATTAGCACATCTATTTCTGAAACACCTGGAAAAATTTGTCAGGTTCTGTGAAGTCACCAAACTGAAAGACTTACACACAGTAAAAGAAATGATCAGGCACTAAGCAAGGTATAAAAGCTCCTCCAGGTAACTAATGACCACAGTCCAGATTTAAAGGGACGTTTGGGGCTAATCTATTGTATATTCTGCAACGTATCACTCACTCCTGGGCTGATCTGTGAATCATATTTTAAGACTCCCTTAACAGCTCATGGTTTTTCTTTTCCCCTTTTTTTACCCCTAAAAACATCAAATCCAGTTTCACTGCAGGACTTGGTGCTGGTTTTATTTCTTAACTGAGGATAAGGTTTCCTCCAGCACTAAAGCTACCTGAAACACGTTTATCTTTATATATTACAGAATCATCACCAAATTATAATACTTCCCTCCGCATTGCAGATCACTATTAAAGCCTGCAAAGTGATGGGTAAAACCAGATCTTTGGCACTGCAGAATTAGTTCAGCTGGCTGACAGAACTGCACAGCAATAAGTGCAGTTCAGAAGATCACATATTTCATAGCTTATCTAAATTATCATCTGCATCTTTTTAAACATTCCCAGTGTAGCCTCAGAAATTAAATATTCCTGCAATCTATATAGATTTTCAAAGACATTTGAGTCTGGGTGTGGACCAATAAAGTGGAATCTACATCAGGAGTCTCATGACTTTTATCACTACATTCTCAGCTGTTAGTGCCAAGATTAAACTTTCAGAAACATCTCAAGCATCTTGAAATAGGCTTGATGAACACCACCACATACTAGGCTCCTGGCACGGCCTTGTTCTTGCATTTTATTTTATTTTAAATAAGTTTTTAAGGTATCTTGTGTAACTAAAGCTTTATATACTTGCTTTTAAAATGCATGCAAATATATATCTGAACCCATTTAAAATCATGTTGAATAGAGCAATTTTGCTTTAGGAGAGAAAGATTAGGTGTTTTGTATCAACAACACTAGTATCTATAAATACAGTGATGTTTAAAAATATAGCRTAAGATTATTTTAATTGCACAGAGCACTCGACTGACAGCAATCAGTCCTTTGCTTTAAACCTCTTTTTTACTCTATAGTTTTTGAACTAAAATCA